AAAAAGGCAGGAGCGGACTTTGCCCTCTCTGTAAACAACACGACGACCTACGAAGTGGGACGTTCCCTCCTTTCTGAATCCCAGTCGGGAAAAGCGGGGCTCCGGGTCGTGGATCCTAAATCCCCTCATTCGGCAGCCAGTCCCTGCTTTCGGAGGCTTTGGCGAGGGTGACAGGCGCTAAGCGCTCCTAGTCGGTGCAATCTCAGTCGGGGTGGACTAGGCAACAACAAAACCTCCGGAGTCAGGTCTCCAGGAGCGAAGGGCGCGGGCCCGGGAGGGAACCAACGGACACCTCGGTACCTTCTCCAGAAGCAGCCGTATCAGGTGCTCATGCGAGCGGCGGGCCTCACAGCCCTGCCGCACATAAGCCGGTGACACCAGCCGCTCGCCCGCTGCGAAGCTCTCGCGGTTCATGACCGGGGTGGCGGCGACGCCGGGTACACAGGACACCAGGACGCCGCGAGGAACCGACAGAACCAGGATGCAACTCGCCTCCTGGACGGTACGGTGTAGCGTTGGACCAAGAAACTGCGCTTCGCTCAAGCTCCTACGCGCGCCCAGTGGGCGAGCGTGCCCACAGGGCTGCGCATGCGCAGGACAGTCGACGCGGTCGGCCCTTCTCCGGCGGGCGGAAGAGGCGGTACTAAAAGCTGCCCCGCCTCCCTGCGTCTGATTGGCTAGTGAACCCCCCCCACCCCCCCGCGTTCTAGACCGGGAGTTCCGGAAGGACGGCGGCTCCCGTGGCTTCGCTCTGGACGAGCGTTTCCTTAGTTCCTCTGTGTTTCAATCCCTGGAAGGCAGACGGCTGCCGACAGCGCCAACCTACCTCACATCCGGTGTTTGTCGGAGTACAGAGCTTTTCAACCTCCCTTCATATATTTTAACATTCTCTATGGGCGGACAATGCCATATAAGCAACCCCCCACTCATTTACAAGCTACAGATTTTTTGTACTCCACCTTTATCACTAACTGACCTGACAGTTTATTTACGTCTCCCCCTAGAAATGCCAACTCCCTAAAGAAGGGGCATTTTTTTTTCTTGCCACAGTATCAGAAACCTCTAGAAGAGTTCCCAGAATATAAACTGAAATTTTAAAAAACGTTTAAAACTCCTTTTGAGTAGACTCCGACTCATGGTATACCGGTGTGTCCGAATTGAACCGTGCTCCGTGTGGTTTTCAATGGCTGTGACCTTTCAGAAGTAGATTGCTACAGTCGCGCTCCCAAGGAGCTTAACGATTGCAGTCATTGTCTCAACCTGATTTGAAGATCTTTCTCTTTTCACCGACCTTTTTACTATCAAACATGTTGTCTTTCTCTAGAGACTGGCCCCTCCTAATATGCTCAAAGTACCTGAGACTATGTCTCACCATTTTCACCTTTAAAGAGCATTCTGGCTGTCCTTCCATTCTGCCTAAACAGACATTTCTTCTTCTGGTGTAAGGCAGTGGTGACTCCATGACAGGCCAAGCCTCCTAAATTTCATTTCTTTAATAGCCTTGAGTTTCATTTCTCTAACAAAGTCACCCTCTCCCCCGAAATGACGCTGACCACACCTGGAAAGTCATGAGTGACCACAATTGGAACGTCCGAGAGTAGAGCCAGTCAACCAAACAGACCTGCACAACCAATGGTCTCCAGATGAAGTCACTGAACTATGGGAGAGTGAGGGGGAATAGTTGCACCCAGAGGGGATAATTTCACCCATCTTATGTAACCTGTATAGAGTATAAAAGCTTGGCTTGTATAGAGTATAAAAGCTGTATAGAGTATAAAAGCAAGGCAGGGGTCCTTGTCTTTGGTGGCCACTGTGTTGGTACCTTAGCACTTGGGTCCTAGCTCGAGATAGTCAATAAACTCCTTTGTTGTTTGCAGCCTCGGTGACTCTGCCTCTCTGTTCCTGGGGCCACGGGAAAGCCGGCAGTAACACTGGTATTTCCAATATTTTTCACAAACACCAAAATTCAAAAGCATCGATGCTTCTCCAGTCTTGCTTATTCGTTTTCAGCTTTCCCATGCACAGGTTATTGTTAGGTGCTGTGATGATGAGGAATTATGTCAACTGCACTGTGCTGAGTAAGTATAGTTGAGTTGGGGGAGGAGGACTGGCTCAACCTATTTATTACATCGAAGCCTGTTGACACCTCCTTGGTTTCATAAGCCTTTTTATGTAAGAAAGGGAGACCTGGCTGAGTCACATTCTCTTTGGCATTTCGCCCTCGACAGGAGCCAGGCCTTCTATCTGGTTCCTTGATCTCTGATTGCATCGCCTGCCAATTCCAGGAGGCCTCAGCAGACTACCGGCAGTGGATTCATTCAGTCAACTTCAGATCTGTGCATCTACCAGCCTGTGCCCCCTGCTGTCTCTGCTTAGTTAATCTGCTGGCTGTTCATCAGCTTCCACAAGTCAGGAGAAGCCTGCCTTAAACCAGATAGGCCTTAGCTACTTCTACAACAGTGTCAGACATTTTTTGATATAAATCTCTTTCTAGATAAACCACATACACCTATCAGTGGTTTTGATTCTCCAGAGAACCCAACCCAAGACAGGTGCCATGCTCACAATTGTTACAGCCACTGAGCCAATCCATTTTAAAACAGGCCTTCCTCTTTTTGCTGCAGTTCTACTTTAGCAAGCATAATGTTCTTTTCCAGGGACTGGTCTTTCTGGATAAAAAAGCCCAGGAGATAATGTCTTGCCATCCTTCCTTCTAAGGAGAATTCTGGCTGTACTTCTTAGACAGATTGTTTGTTCTGGCACTCCATGGTAATTTCACTACTCATCAACAACATTCAAATCCATCCATTCTTTTTTCATCTTCCTTATTCGGTGTCCAATATTAATATGCATGATTGAAAATACATGAAAATGGTGATTGAAAATACCATGGTTTGCAACAGTGCACTTCAGTCCTCAAATAGACACCCATTCTCTCCAACACTTTAAAGAGATCTTCTGCAGCTGCCCAATGCTGCTTCCACAAGCTTTGATTGTGTATCAAAGCAAGATGAACGTGTTCAATCTTTTCTCCATTTATTATGATATTATCTATTGGTCCTGTTGTGAAGATTTTCATTTTCTTCGCATTGAGTTGCAACCCTCATAAAAGTCTACAGTTCTTGATGTTCACCAGGAAGTGCTGCAAGTCCTTATCACTTTCAACAAGTAAGGATGTGTCATCTGCATATGGCAGGTGGTTCATAAGCCTCCTTCAATCCTATGCCACATTCTTCTTCATTTAAGCCAACTTCCCTGATGCTATGCTCAACATTTAGATTGAACAAGTAGGAGGGGTACCCATCAAAACATGAATTTTGTTTTCAACGCTATGTATTTAAATCTTTTTACAAAACAACCTTATCACCTTCAAAGTGCTCTCCATTACACTTAATACATTTGTCAAATCTGCGATTCCATTCTTGGAAACATTTTCCAAACTCATCTGTTTAGATGGCTGACAGCACCTCCCTCATTTTTTTGTTGTTGTTGGTTTTTTTGGTTTTGTTTTTTTTTTCATTTTTCTTAACCTCTTCTACGTTGTCAAATTGCTGTCCTTTCATAACCCTCTGCATTTGAGCAAACAAAAAGAAGTCACACAGAAAGAGGTCAGTTGAGTAAGGTGTGTGGGGCAAAGAAGCATGCTGTTTTTTGCCCAAAATGGCACACTGAGATTAGTGCCCCGCCTGCCACAAATCAGGCCTTTTTTGTCACACACTGTTACACAATCTTTTCAGAACCTCTAAATAGAAAGCTTGATTAACAATCTGAGCTGGTGGAAAGAACTCCAAATGCACTAGGAGTGGACATTTTTGTCTGTTTGGGAAGTTGATGGATGTCCAGAACGAGGTTTGTCATCAATAGACATTTCACCTTTCTGGAAACGAGAAAACCACTGTACTCTTGAATTTTTCCCATAGCGCTGTCTTTGTAAGCTGGGTTCAACATGACCAGAGTTTCTGTGGCATTTTTTCCTGAGCAGGAAACAAAATTTCACAGCCGCCCAGTGTTCTCTTAAATCAACCATCACCAAAAGTGGGGTTCCAGTGAAACTGCTTTGATGAAAAATTTCACTGTGACCAGAGAGAATCTGCCCAGGTGATGCCACTGGGTGCTAACTCAGAGCAAGTTGCTCGATGCTCACCTAGTGGGAAAAATACGTACTACAAAAGCTCTGCTCCGCCCAGTGCAATTCCATTGGGGGGGCGGGGGGTACCCCCTTGCGAGGCGAGAGGATGCAACTATGACACGCATCTTTCCTGATTTTAAACCATGCAATATTCCCTTGTTCTGTTTGCACAACTGCCTCTTGAACATGTACAGGTTCTGAATAAGCATAATGAAATGTTCTGGAATTCCCATTCTTCTCGAGTTATCCACAGTTTATTATGATCCACACAGTTGAATGCCTTTTCACAGTCCATGAAATACAAGTAAATATCTTTCTAGTATCCTCTGCTTTGAGCCAAGGTTCATCTGATATCAGCAATGTTGTCCCTGTTCCATGTCCTATTCTGAATATGGCCTGAACTTCCAACAGTTCCCTTTCAGCCTACTGCTGCAACCATTGCTGGATGATGTTAGCAAAATTCTACTTGCAATATCAATGATATCATTCTATAATTTGAGCATTCTGCTGGGTCATCTTTCTTTGGAATGGGCACAAATAAAAATCTCTTCCAGTCAGGTGGCCAAGTAGCTCTTTTCCTAAATTCCTTCCTTAGATGAAAGTGAGTGCTTCCAGTGCTTCTTCAACTTGCTGAAACGTTTCGATGGGTATCCCATCAATTCCTGGAGCCTTGTTTTTGGCTAATGTGTTCGGTGTAGTTTGAAATTCTTCTTCAGCACCATTGGTTCTTGTTCCTATGCTACCTCCTGAAATGGTAGCTACTTCTTTTTGGTGCAGTGACTCTGTGTATTCTTTCCATATTCTCTTTATTTATGTATTTCTTTATTTAACATTTTATTAGGGGCTCATACAACTGTTATCCCAATCCATACACACATCAATTGTGTAAAGCGCATTTGTACATCGTTTCTCAAAACATTTTCTCTCCACTTAAACCCCCGACATTAGGTCCTCATTTTTCCCCTCCCTCCCTGCTCCCCCCTCCCGCATGAGCCCTTGATAGTTTATAAATGGGTATTTTGTCATATCTTGCCCTGTCCGACGTCTCCCTTCACCCACTATTCAGTTGTCTGTCCCCCAGGGAGAAGGTCACACACAGTTCCATGTAATCGGTTCCCTCTTTCCTACCCATTCTCCCTTTACCCTCCCTGTTTTGCCACTCACACCACTGGTCCTATAGGGCTCATCCGTCCTGGATTCCCTGTATTTTCTCTTTCCATATTCTCTTGATGCTTCCTGCATCATTCAATATTTTGCCTATAGAATCTTTCACGAATTCAACTTGAGGCTTGAATTTTTTCTTGAGTTCATTCAGTTTTAGATATGCTGAGTGTGTGCTTCCCTTTTGGTGTCCTAATTCTTGGTTCTTGCATATATTTTTAATACTATTTGGCTTTGTCTTCTCAAGCTGCCACT